CTCTTTTAAATATGATAGGTGATGATTTTGAAACGTTTCTTAGTGAGGATTGACGTAAATAATTCTGATTGAACCATACAAAAAACTAGTGTTGTTTTGTGACCTTTGGTTTTGAACATTCACAATTTATCTCGTAATATGCTTCTGGATTTAGAATGCACATGATTAGTAACATTAATGCAGCCATAGCAGGATAGATACTTGTAGAATTTGCGGAGAAATCATGTTAAACATGCCTCAATGATTTCCTCCTTACAAGAAATATTTTGTTTATTTTTTTATTCTCGTCGTATCTTTACATTTTCCTTCTTAGACCTTCTTTCCTTCTTAGATGATACCTTCTTGGACAACGAAATAGTGAGTAGCTTTGTACGAATATACGTTTGCCAGATTTGTTCTATCAAACAACCGAGATTTGAATTATGCATATATTTTTTACTATTTTGTGTTTACTTTCTTTTCAAATTTTGCCTTGTATAAACCATATGTTTGAATGGCAAATTCTTTGCTTTTTTTTCCTTTTGTGTTGTATTATAAAATAATTTAGTTATTTATTGCATTTACCAATAATATGAAATAAATGAACGAGTGTTTATAAGTTAACAACTCTCCCTTATAGACGTAGAGCGTTTTAAACAGACATGAATCTTTGTTAAACCTCCTAACCTGATCGTAGAAAGTTCCTACTGACTGAAGTATTATTTCATTATAATGAATTATGTCTTTGCTTTGAACAGAAATTAGGGATTAACATAGCTAAATTTGTGTCAATAACTGTCAAGTAACTTCTGCCAAAGACTGACATGGATCTGACATTCAGTGAACTACCGCTACTCCGGAGCAATTTATACAAACCGTATTTTTAAATCTCGCACCAATTTCTCTGGACGGAGTGCCCGTGAGCTCTAGTAAGCTTGTTACCTTGCCAGTAATCTTGACATGCCTGGTTTACAAGGATCATCACTCCGATAAATTGTCTCCATTTCTGAGATACGGTGTATTGTTTTACTCTTGTTTTTCTCAGCACTATTCTCTTCATTTCCCTGATCACGTCACAATTCTTACCATGTTCCCTCAAAACCTTCACTCCCCAATTTTTTTCCTAGTATGTGTACGAGACCCACTGTCTGATGAACTTCGTGATAATAATTTGATGTAAAAATTGCAAACTTACTCCTTATTTTCTTTTCTATTATCCCAAAAATTCGATCAGTTGATAGAAATAAATTTCCTGTTAGAAGAAAGAAAAGTGTAGCATTCTTCAAATGACGAGAGGTATTGTTAAGGAGATAGAACGCCACGGCATGAACAACTTGCTTGTTTTTGTTGCGATTCCCACAACTTCGCAAAAAAGCAATTTGCTACTACTTTCAGCTTGTAGAAATAAGGTAACTGCCGCAATAACACTAATATCAACTAAGCAGTAAATCCAATAGAAAAGTTTAAAATTCCACCAGCATGAAAAATAGACCCGAGAACAAAATTCGATTTGCACCAAACATAAAGACATGTAACAATATGAACAAACAATATGTTTTGAAGGTTTATTTACGTAAGAATAGAATGTAATTTTAAGTGTTCGAGATTACCGACTGATCGAGCGAATAAGAAGTATAACGAAAAAATATCAAACTCGCTTTTTGTCACGAAGGAATTTAATAGGATTGTAAACGACAGTCTTCATCTACAAAAAGACATATTTTACACACTTCACACATGCAATTTCTCTCGTATTTTTATGCCAAATTTACTTCTCGGCGCATTTCCATGTTGAGGACGAGGCTCCGGCCTTCGGTTCTCGCTATTATCATAAAATTTCCGAGATTCTGTGCAAGACAAAATTACGAAAGTGTTTAATGCGAAAATACTTCCTTATATGATATGGGTATGAAAAACCTACCTTATTAATCAGCTGGATGGTAAATGCGAAAACTCGTTTGTTTATGGACAGCTCACCTCTTCATTTCCGCTAAATCGAATTATATCCATCTTATTGTTTCGCCGCATTTCACTAAATAAACACACGTTTAATATGTCCACAACGTTCCACCAGGCTTGTCAAAATGTACGCGCACACGCTACTTGCCAGTCTGGGCAGCACAGCGCTCCTGTGGGCAACAGGCAACAGGCAACTTGCGCTGACTGCG